ACGTGTAGCACAAGGAAGTTTCCCAGCGCGGCCACAGGCCGGGTCTAGAGAAGGCCACTTAATCCACGTGTGTTCACGTGTCATCCAGTGGAGCCGAGGGCCCTTCCCTGTGGCCAGCCGGTGGAGGGTCCGCAGTGGGGAGCCCTGAAAATGAGCCGGGACTGGACCCGGAGGTCAGCACAGCTGGCTTCTACAGGAAGGGACAGAGTCAGCCCACAGCCAGGCCCTGCAGATAGTGTCTGAGACAGCGGCCCGGCAGGGGCAGCCTCACTGGCACCCGTAGCACCTCTCTACCGAGGTTCTGGCTTACCCGGACGGTGCCTTCCCACGGGAAGAGACCACGAACACAAGGGAGACAGGACGCCATTTCCTGAGGCTTCTGGGGCAGCGGCCATATGTGGCCTCCATGACTCCAAGCCCCCGGGAACCTTTGCTTTCCGTTTAAGCCGCTGTTCAGGTATAAATGTTCTGCTTTAAGACTCACCTATGTTCCTTACAGAAAATGCCTCCCGAGTCTTTGGACAGACTCCCTCCTGTGTGGGTGCCACTGCGTACCTCACCCACAGTCTCATCTCTGAGCAGCGGACTCCCCCGGGGCGCAGCATGGCAGGGAGCAGACTGGTGGGGAGCAGACGCCAGTGTAGCGGTTTCTTCAGAGACCAGAGGAAACCAGAGGGCAGGCCTTGCTGCAGCTCAGACAATCCCCTGGGAGTCCTGGACCTGGCCTGAAGGGGCAGGCTGTGCCCCACAGTCCGCCACGGCACCAAGCGTGGCAAAGACATCACACACTGAAAAAGTTTAAATACATGACCCCATGTCAATCTCCTCAGCAGCCGGTGATGCAGTATGGCTCCCCCAAGGCCGGCACTGCCTTCAACTGAAACTCCACTTCTGGTGTTACTGCTGGTGTTTTGTGGTTTCAGCCAAAACTCATAGCTCAGTCCCCTCCCGGGCATCCCTGGGTCCCTTTTCCTTCTCTACCCCACAATCCCTCACCACCCCCCCCAAACAGGGTCTTCCCAGACCTGAGAGGAAGGGCCCCCAGCAGCAGGCAGTCCACGCCTGCTGAACAGGAGGGAGGCACGGCCATCCCACTCACTCCTGCTGGCAGGGAGAAATCAAAATCCTGGCCGCTCAGTGCAGGTCACAGAGGGGCGCCCCTCCCAGGAAGGAGCTGGAGTCACAGTGGCCCTGCAGTGTCCCCAGGTGGAAGGGCAGAGGCAGATGTGCCGGAGGGACTTCCACACCACGGCAGAGGACTTCAGTGGGAACGCTGGCTCCGCTGATAGCCTTCCCCATCTTTTGTGTTCTGAACACTTTAAAAAACATTGATGGAGGGCCCTTCCCTGGTGGCGCAGCGGGTTACGGCACAGCACTGAGAAGCTAAAGCCACTTCTGCATGAGTTCGATTCCCGCCTGCCCCGGAGGTGACCACATGGACAGCAGACTTCTCCTGACCCGCCTGCTGCTCCCCTCAGCAGTGTACTTCACATTCGGCCTGTTCTGCTCCCCGCTCTGTCTCTGGTGAAGCCTCTTGCCGCCCCTGAGCCTCTGGCCTGTACCTTAGTTCTGAAACATCATGTTCCCTTACCTCAATCAGTGTGGCAGGAGGCATGGTTAACCCGCAGTCTTGGGTGGGAAATCCCGACAGCTGTCCCAGTTTAATGCTTAGAGGGAGAAAGCCGGGGTTTGCACGCAGTCCTCCCGCTGTGCTCTCAGAGACGGTTACCCTAAACGAACTCTGAGGCCCTTCCCTGAGCGCCGAAAGGTCAGTACCGTGCTTCCCTTGCCAACATGCGCAGCCGTGTCAGGTGGATTTCTGGCAGGTATTCCTCGGGACTCTTTTGAGTAACCTTTCCCGTGGGGGAAGTGAGCGGATACCAGGTTCTCTGTTCTCAGGAGTTCAGGGGAAAGGGGATCCGTTCTTTGCTGGGACCCCTGAGGCAGCAACCACTAGTCCATCTGATGGGTCCATTACAAACTTTTGCCCCACTGTGTCGGTTGGCTCAGAATTCACCAAGGCACACTGAAAATCACAACTATCGTCAATAAGAACGTGACTTGGAGTTAAGCATCTGTTTCTCACAATGCCTCACACTAAGCTGATGAGAAAGACTTGTACAGAGAACGGACACAGCCTGTGGCGTCACCCCCTTCCCTAACTTAATCAGGCACCCCAAAACCACACTCTCTCATGCTGCCCTCATGCATTCTACCTGCTGGTTTTATCTTAGGGTTCTCCGGCACTGACTAACCTCTGAATCGGGTCCCTTGGACGCTGACTGGAAGACAGGAAAGTCAGTGGTGGCTGGGGCCTGCAGAGACACCCCTTGTGTCCTCAGAGGCTGGAGCTCAGCCTGGAGCAGGGCACACCCCGGGAGTGGGGGGAGGGTTATAAGCATTTCCAGTCACCCCCCCCGCCCCCCTCCCACTGCAGCAGTCCCATCAGTTCAGACCTTAAAAGAAGTTCAACAGGGGAGTAAGTGGGTCACACTATCTGGCTTTAGGACCGACATGAAAATAAAACCTTGAAAACAAAACTGCCAAATGGATACAAGCTAAAATAATTCAATTTACTGAAATTCTTTAAAAACCTCAGCAAGTCGGCCCTCCCTGGTGGC